TTGCCGTTTCTGATTGCTGATTTTTGGGTTTCATTACATTTTGCCCTTTTTGATACCGTGGAGTGCTAGGACCTTTTTCTCTTGTACCTACTGTTTGGGACCTGGTGCTGGTAGCTAGCTTAGTTGCACCCAGGATCCTGTATTTGGGTGAGTGCAGTTGTATATTTGGTTTTGCAGAATCAGTATGTTTTAAGGACTAACCAGTTTCAGAAGATTTTACATTTTCTCTCAGTAGCGTGCTTAGCTGGTATCCATTTAAATGAAAAAAGCGCAGTTGCTGTCTCATCAGCTCATGCTCAACAACTGGATGTATCAGCATACCAAGGTTGTTTCGTGGGATTGGAAGGCCAAGACTGATTGCCAAGGTTGGAGTCAGATCAGTTTGCTGTAAAGTCTCTGGCACTTTACCAGAGTCTGAAAGTGAAGAAGAAAAAATGTTGAATAAGCCAAGTATATTGAATAGGCAATGTAATAATATGTAATATTTTAGAGTGTTTTAAGCACCAAGAAATGTGAGTGCACTTTAGAGAAAATAAAATTACAACTCCAGAGAAAAATTAAACATAAGGTCAGGGAGAAAAGGGGGGGGGGGAGGGGGAGGAATTACTGTGGACACAAACACATTTTTGGGAAGAAAATAAAATTAGCAAATTAAAAGGCAACAACCCAATTAAGTTTTGTGAGGTCATAAAACATTTCATAATAACAACACCATGACAGCATAAACTACAGTTGCAAAAAACAAACAGTGACATGTAATCTCTACAGCCCAGTGTAGTGGTTATAGTCCCTGATATGCCCTGGTGTCCTCTCAGAGTAAGTCGAGACATTTGAGAATGTCTTGTATACTTACCAAGAGTTGCCAGTCATCACCTCCTCTGTAGTCAGAAGCTTCCGCATAGAGAAAGCCAAGCAGTACAGGGCAGTGCTCATAGGCTAAGTGCATTCAGTTAAAAGACTCATCCAATAATCCTGGCAGGGCTTAGAAGCTTGTGCACTGAGCTAACTATAAAGTAAGCAATGATGAGGACCTGGCAAACCCAAAGTAAGATTTCAAACCATTTGCCTATTGTGGAAAGGCACCATGGCTGTGTATGAGAAAGGTTGAAAATGCTGTGTGAAAAACTGAAGAAAAAAAAATGCATAGGAAATACAGGGTGAGATTTTAAGAAAAGGACTAAAGGAAAGAGGAGAGAGTGAGGAGGACTCTGTGTATGTGGAGAGTGGGGGAGGATCGATCGATCTATAGATAGATACTATTGTGAGAAAGGTATCTCAAAGCATCTCTAGGAGGAAGATACTTAACTTAAGTTGATTGCAGGGCCACAACAGGAAGAGCCTCTAGTGGCTGTATGAGAGAAGGCCACTAAAGGTATCCCTATGAAGCACTGTTTCCATTGCTAAGACTGCAGTGACATTTACAGTTATTGTATTCATCTGTATTGATTCTGGTGCTTAGAGTTTTCCCTTTATAAAGGGGACTAGCGGCTGCTGTAAGGATGAGGTAACAGGAGTGCTATACTTTAATAGAATATTGTTTATCGGAACTGTAGGATGATGCCATGAGTGATCTAACTACTGATGATGCCATAGGTGACATCAGCAATCATTTAATCAACTATGGCATGTCAAGGAACTAACCAATATAACACATGTGCATCAATGACTGCTTTTCATCTAGTGTGGTGTGTTTGATATTATCTACAGTACACAAGACACAGGGACACAGTATTCCTTTAACATGTAACAATATTTTACAAAATATCAAATGACCCTGAACTTGGTCTGGATTTTAGTTTGACCCAAACCTACATCTGGATGGGTGAAACCTACATCTGGATGGTAAGATGTTTTTAAAAACAGAAGTTGCAGTTGGGATTCCTTAATGACTGCTATGGACTCACAGTGCAAGACCGCTGTGCCAAAGCCTGCGTCACGTCCCAGATGCTCCTAGATTCCTAGAAACAGGGAGAACCAGTACCAACACTACTCCCCCGTGTTGCCTCCTTATGATCCGGTTCCTAGGAAGATTATGTTCCCCTTTACTCTGAGGAACCTATGGAAATAGGACTAGTCAAGCTCAAAGTGACTCATTAAGAAAGAGACCAGAGGAGGAACCATGGCCTTTGTTTTTACTGTGGAGAAAGGAGTCACTTCATCTCTTATTGCCCTGTTCGCCCACGTAGGCCTCCAGCTCTCCGATTGGCTACCACCTTTCTTCGCCCTATGAGCTCTGCATGCCAGCCTGTAAACCCTCAAAGACTCAGACATGCCGGTCCGTTCTTGGCCTCCCTGAGAAATTCTCTATCTCTTGCTCCAGAGATGTCTGCATCTCCTCCTGAACACACTCATGTTAAAACCGGTACCATCACCACTTCCTGCCTGCTCAAAGATCTACCTTTGGATTGTACCTGTGCCTCTAATGGTACTTAAGTTTGCATAAAAGATTTGGAAATGTTTGAAAACGCGTTGCAAGCCGCGCACTCTATTTCTGTTGATGTACCTAAGGAGAAAAGTTCAGAGGATGTGCCTTCTGGAATCAAAATATTTACAACCTGCACCTCAAAGACCATGACTACTCTCCAGTGGCACCAGAAGCTGGTACTATGGGGCTCCTTACTGTGAAGAAACCCCTCTCTGGGAACGATGATATTGAGGGATGTTATTCTAAGGATGGGGACTTCGACAGTGAGAAATACTAACTCTACGAAAAACCTGTTCACGTTCCTTAATGGGGATACTTGTCACGGTTCTCACCGTGCCATCCAGACAGCCAGGCATGGTCGCCCCAGAAGTGTCCAACCGGGGATTTGAACCTGGGGCCTTCTGCATCCTGCCTCTGAGCCACTTCTGAACTTTGGTTCTAACCTTGTTTTCCTGTAATTGCCTGCAGCACTAGGTTGCTGGACATCATCAGTGGCTCGTACCTGTCCATCTAAGTTCACCTGAGGCAGTTCACTCATTAACTGGGCATAAAACATTGCTCCTCCCGGAGAACATTGTCAGTTTGTTGTTTCTTGTATTCTGTTTCCTAAGATTGACTTGGCTTGTGACCCTTTCTGTTTGGATTATTCGTTATTGCCTGTTCGCTGCCTGCCCTGACTTTTGGAACCATGCCTGACTACTCTTCTGGATTTGTCCTGGTCTGTTTCCACGTACCTGGTTACTGTTCCTGCCTAAGTTCCCAGGCACAGTTTCACAGCCCAGGTAGCTCCTTATCTGGTTACCGTGGGCTGTGTTTATCTGCAAGGGTGTGCAAACATCTCTGCACTTCGGACTCCAAATAAGGTAAGCCATGACAATAGGCACCTATATCATTTTTTTATTTATAACAAGCATTTACAAAGTGCCAACACATTCTGCAGTGCTGTATAATTGGGAAAATGACAATACAACAGTAAAAAGTGATACAATAATATCGTGTGGAGAGATATCAATACCAGAATAACTCACTAGGTGCTATTCCTCACAAGGTACTCCCTCAAGTACCAAATAAACATAACTATTTCCAAAAAAGAGAATGCACACTAGAACCACCAGTATAGATTTATACAAATTTTAATGAACCAATAATAGGCATCAATTGCATACAACAAGACAATATAGTGAGACAATATAAAGGCATACAAATAAACCAGCAATAATGTGTTATTTAAACACCCTTGAAAAAGACAGCCAGTTGGTGCCGAAATGTTAGGGGGTATTGAGGACCTGTGTTTCTGCCAGGTTAGGCTTGTGAGAGATTTGGTAAATTATAGCTGGTTTATTTTTATCCCTTTATATTGTCTCACTATATTGTCTTGTTGTATGCAATTCATGCCTATTATTGGTTCATTAAAATTTGTATAAATCTATACCGGTGGTTCTAGTGTGCACTCTCTTTTTTGGAAATGCAACATAAATAGACCAATACAAACAGTAGAGGGTGAGTTTACAATCTAAAGGTTAAAATGGGAAGATGAGACAAGATGTAGCTTATTGCAATGAGACAGCCACTGGAGGCACTTCCTCAAATATCACAGAGTTTAAAATCATGAAACTATGCAAGATGTCCTCACACTATCCATGAGGAAATCTAGCATCTTGCAAAACCCCATTTGAAAGCATTGAGGTGCAGTTCCAAAGATCATTGTAACAGTTTTGTAAGCGTTTAGGAAGAGTTTGTTATCTACTATCCACTTTTCTACCTCTGCGAATTGGTTTTGGAGCACAGCCTCAAACTGCGGTAGCTTGGGTTTACTAGCGTAGATTACAGTGTCGTCTGCATACATGTGTACAGTTGGGGATTTGCAGACGTTAGGCAGATCATTTATAAATAAGGTGAATAGCAGGGGGCCGAGTACGGAGCCTTGGGGAACACCACAAGTGACTGGAAGAGGGAGGGAAGAGCTATCATAAATGGCCACATATTGCAATCGGTCTGAAATATACGATCGAAATCAGGTTAGCGGACGATCACCAATGCCTGAGTTGTTAAGTTTTTGCAAAAGAATGTCATGATCTAGTGCAGGGGTAGGCAACCTACAGCACTAGTGCCATGCACGGCATTCAAGGTGTCTTTGCACGGCACTCGAGGCTGCTAGAGCCAAACAGGCTCTGGCCTATCAGGAGTCCCAGTGAAACTTCAGATATCTGCTAATACGAAAAGATGGTGATTGCAGCACATAGAGGAAGTGATCTCGGATCTATAGTAGAGCAGTCTGCAGCTGCTGTTGCAGCTCCTGTCCTTGACCTGTACCAGGGAAGCCACCCACACTGCTAGATATACACAGAAATGCAGAATAACCCTCCCCTCATACAAATAATACGAACAGCCCAAAAACAAACATACACACAATCCGCACAAACGTAACCCGCTAACAATCCACATAAATGCTGTGTGCATGTATGTGGATTGTTAGCGGGTTACGTTTGTGCGGATTGTGTGTATGTATGTTTTTGGGTTGTTTGGGGTGTGGATGGATATGTCACATTGTGTGTTTGGTAGTGTGTGGGGGCTGTTTGGGGTATTGCATGTGAGAGGCTGCATGTGGGATTGTGTATCCCACATGCAGCCTCTCACATGCAATACCCCAAACAGCCCCCACACACTATCAAACACACAATGTGACATATCCATCCACACACAATTCCACAAGCAACCCCCATACACAGCCCACATTCATATGTATCATACATGATACCATAAACTACTAATGAACATATACAATATAATAGCTCATATACGCACAAATACAACAATACAAGGCAATCACAGTAAAAATAACACAAGCAGAATACTGCAGCATACACACCTCAATTTAAAAAAAATAGGACCGACACGCTACGGGACATCACACTCCTATATCGGCACAGTGCTGCTAAAGGGTTGCCTACCCCTGATCTAGTGTGTCAAAGGCCATGGCAAAATCAAGGACAATAGCTCCAGTTAAGTCTCCTTGTTCCATGCCAATTTGGATGTCATTGCAAACTTTTAAGAGGGCAGTTGTAGTGAAGTGATTTGGACGATCAGGGGTCAGATAATTTGATTGTTAATATTCACATAGTTGAGTGTGGACGCATTTTTCCAAGATTTTTGACAATACAGGGAGCAATAATATTGGACAATAGATACAAAGTATTGTCACCACTTTTATGGATAGGTACAACTTTTGCAGTCTTCCAAAGTGTGGGTATGTATATGACACCCGGGATTCATTGATAAGGGTAGTGACTGGTTTAGCAATTGCTGGTGCACTGAGCTTCATAAAGGAAGTGCTCCTGATCTCAGCTTGCTACCTGTATAAAAGACACATGTCCACAGAAGCAATCAATCAGGTTCCAAACGCTTTACCACGGCCACGACCAAAGAGCTGTCCAAAGATGTTGTAGCGGAGACCTAGTTTCCCATAGAGTTCTCCGCTGGTATTAGAACAGTGAAGCAGGAACAATAAGTTAACCCAGGATAAACAGCATCAATGATAATAAAATAATCCAGTAATATCCCATCACAATTCCCAATAACTGGACGACACACAGTATCAGGAGCTTTTAAGCATTTCTCCCATGCAAAGGAGACACCCACAGTAATTAGTGCAGTAACCAATCATTTACACGTTACCTCCCACACAGCTCCTTACCTCAGCTCAACAGATAATTACAGTGCATGGTTTTCCCCTGTTTTTGGATGTACCACAAATATCTCAGATAGACCCCTAAATTCCCTGATCTGGGTGAACAACATATTCAAAAGTCACCCAGATCAGACCAGGGGTTCGGGAGTTAGGTGGAAGTGTTCATTTGACCGACTGCACACGAGGCAGTAGCCGAAATCAGTTCCATACATTTTGGCCTGGCGGTCAGTCTTTTTTCGTGGGGTAAAAGATACGAAAATCCTTGCCATCCATAGCTGTACTGACGTTCATATGAATCCCCTTGTTCGTGGGATTCATTTAACCGAACGGTGGGCTGTTCGTGTGTTTGGTTTGGTAATTATGGAACTCTGGAGGTCTTACCGATGTTCGCGTAGTCAAGTGTCCGATTTGGGTTCCAGACACTCGACAACCAAACACTGCTGGGCATTCGTATGGCAAGATGGCCGCCGCCACGTGTTCGTATGCCGAACAGCGGCATACGGACATGTATGCCGCTGTGCTAATTAGACTGCGGTTAGCACCGATCGGGGAGGTAAAGTAGGCGCACACTTCTCTCTGGGGTGGTCTGATTGTTCGGTAGTTTGTTCATATGACGAACGGAGTGGTTTTACCGAACAATCAGCCGAATGCTTCATACAATACATATGTATATAGAAAACAAATAAAACGAAAATGACCTTATAACACGAATATTTAAAGACAGCCCAACACAATCCGCTACACTGCTCCCCCTTGCCCACAAGCCGGCATACACAGTATGATCCAACACGGATCGGCTTGGGGAAGACCAGGGTTGCTCACAAATCATTTTTCCCAAGTCTGTTTGTCTAGACAACCCATCGGCGTTTCCATTCTGTTTCTCCGGGCGGTACTGGATATTGAAGTCAAATGGCTGCAGCGCGAAACTCCAGCGCAGCAGCCTGGCATTGTCCCCAGCCACCCGGTTTAGCCATACCAACGGGTTGTCATCCGTGAGAAAAGAAAAGGGCTGTCCATACAAATAAGGTTGCAACTTTTTCAGTACTAGAAAATGACTTTCCTGTTACTGGTCACTAAAACCAGAACCAGGACTGTCAGCTGGACAAAATATTAGTAGATTATAGATAATTAAATCAAAATTGCCATCAATATGTCGGAATATAGAGAGGGTTCATACGTAGATTCAAGTGATTAAAATAGCCTAAATGGCTCTTCTCCTGTCTAAAGGACTCTTAGACGTAAAGAATCTATTTGAGACTCAGGACTTTAATATAATCAACCATAGTATGTCCATGTCAACAGTAAAAGCGGTTGTGGAATGAGCCTTTAAATTAACTCCTGTAATCTAGATGGAAAAGACAATCAGTCAAGGAGGAACTTTGAATATTGGCTGTATATAAAGTAACACTTGTAGCAAAGCCCGCTGTATCAGAAAAGCTACAATAAGAGTGTAGTTAAGCAATCAGCAATTTAGGATAACAGCATTTAGCTGGATACCAAGTAACATATAATAAAAGGAAAAAAGTCTACATGAAAATTCGTAGATTAATCACAAAATATGTCATAAATGATAAATCTTAAGTTAGTGGTTTCCTAAATCGCTATGGGGTACAAAGAGTATCTGTTGCCCCCTCAAATACATACAGAGCCAGTCCAGATTCCTCAATCAAATAGATAATTCCAATCTAGATAGCATATCAGGAGTGACAGGAGGAAAAGGTGAAAAATTAGGAAATAATAGTGCTAATGTGTAGAACCATGCTTAGAATGCTGGTTACCTACACATCGTGAAATAGTGCCCTAGAAGTGAAAATAAAAAGTGAGTGAAAGTGAAGGAGAAAAACCTCCTTCAACCCGACGCGCGTTTCGGTGCTGTGATGCACCTTCGTCAGGGGCTGAATTCGTTATGGACCCTAGACCTTGTTTAAATACCCCTGGTATTGTAACTGTTGAGAGGATTCCACCAATCAGGGTTCCTGTGTGGACCGTCAGTTGGCGCCAAAATGACGTCAGAATATGCTAATTAGCTGTTTAAATAAAGAAAAAAAGAAAAAAAAAAAAGGAGAAAGAAAACTCCAAACAGGGTTAAGTCCACCTCTACATTGTGTGGTTTATATTTAACCCTGTATGTACTCATTGGATGGAGTGACTTGCTTCATAGAATAGGGAAAGGACGAAGGTGAATATATCTGTGTAAATTTTATAGTCAGAGACGAATGATTCATCAAGAAATTTATATCATGTAAAGTCAGTGTATTGCTATCACAAGGCATTGTTTGAGAAGTAGACGGTTCATCATGGGTTATCTGGACGCCTGTGGGATCATGAGAATGGGTAGAGAGGCTTTGAGCGAAAAACCTCAAAAAAGTGAAAATAAGGGATTTTAACCCTCGCTCAGCCATGGGGACCTAATACCTATCCCAGGGTATCATAAGGATTATATAAATATGGGCGGTCAGGTTAACTGTACTTCCTATTAGGGTAATGATCATTTCATTATCAAGCCTCATTCTCGATTTACGGGCGGAATTAACCCCCGCTATACTGTTCTTAGCAGTCGTGTGAAAATAGTAATAGCTGAGCTTATACCCAAAATTCCCATGTGCGGGTATTATCAATGGCTTGATGATCGTAAATAAATTGCCAGATATTCATGTACCAGTGTGTCTACATAAATACTAGGTAATAAATGCCTCTGATATACATAATCAGATATTGAGGCTTTTTATAATACAGATAAATTCATCAGTTCTTATTCTTACTAAATGGAGATTAGTATTTCGGTAATCGAAATTTGTCCAGCCATTCCCATTGGCAGTATCAATTCAATTTGTCAATTTAGATGGCTGGTACGTTGTGCTAGTCCATATATCCAAATAGCGTGTATAGTATTATAAATAGGAGATGGGGGGAAAAGTAGCATACGATATATTAAATTTTAAGTAATTTATATAACTTTTAATGGATCATGTGTCATCATGGGATCAGAGTGATCGGTCATGTGTAAATCTTACTGGACATAATTTACTCAAATGAGTGAGTTATATAGTATAATTAAAGTGTATCCAGAAGATACCCACTAGACAGGCTATAATAATGAGGGCTGTATACCTTCTTTGAGCCACTAGGGGTCAGTCACAGACATACCAGGGGTAAATTTCCATATTGAATGTATCTAAGTAGTATTTACTCTTTTGATGGATTAATTTCCAATTATTAAATAGTAAATTAATGAAGTGTTGCTAGGGAAGAACCGGTATTTAATCAGGGATAAAGGGAGTGTATGAGAATCCTTCGTTAAGGCCCAAGGGGGATAAAGTTTTTAATTTAAATATCCAGAAGCTCTCTCGCTGTAAGAGTCTTTTGTCCAGATCTCCCTTCCTTGGTCCCAACTTTATTTTTTCTACTCCATTAAAGCGTAAGCCCTGTGCAGAGCCGGCATGTTTAATTTTCAAATGTCTTGATATAGATGTATCTATCTGTCTAGATGGATTCACAGAGTTTATGTGTTCAAGGATGCGGGTTTTAAACTGTCTGAAAGTCTTCCCCACGTATTTCAAATTGCAACTGCAAGTAATGAGGTATATTAGGCCCTCGGTTTTGCAGTTAAAGAAGGTTTTAGTTGTGTGTATCTCAGTATTATCCGAGTTAGAGAATGATTTCGATTGTTTCCGGATAAATTTACAGGCCTTACACTTGCCGCACTGAAAGGTGCCGGCAGCAGGCGATTTAAGCCAGGTGTTAGTAGGTTTTGGGAGAGATAAATGGCTTGGAACCAAAATATCTTTTAGGTTCTGACCTCTCCTTGCTGTAATCGATACGTGGGGTGTCAGCACATCTTTAAGATGTGTATCTTGGTACAGTAGTGGCCAGAATCTCTCTAGTATTTTTTTCATACCGTCCCAACCCGAATCAAAGGTTCCAATACATCTTATTATTTCCTGATTTTTGTTTTGGGGGGG